TGCATCATTTGTACAAGTTTGGTTTATACAATGTTATATAAACCTTATAGTTTTTTGGTATAGACCTGCACCCATAACTTTTACCTGGTCTATCATCTGAAATATGTATGTCAAATTCAGCATCCGAAGCAAGTCCATTAGTGTGCATCCTTAGATGTATCATCCATGCAGGTTTGGTCAACACAGGGCTTATAGTTACTTGGAAATGAAACCTGCATCAAAAACTTTAACCTTTTAACTCAACCGTAAAATGTAGGTCAGATTCAGCATCCGAAGCAAGTCTGGTAGTATGCATCCTTAGATGTATCATCCATGCAAGTTTGGTCACTAAAGAACTCAATGAATCATGCACCAAAAACTTTAACCTGTTCACTCAACCGGAAAATGTATGTCAGATTCAGCATCTGAAGCAAGACTGGTAGTATGCATCCTTAGAAGTATCATCCATGCAAGTTTGGTCACTAAAGAACTCATAGTTACTTGGAAATGAAACCTGCATCAAAAACTTTAACCTGTTCACTCAACCGTAAAATGTAGGTCAGATTCAGCATCCGAAGCAAGTCTGGTAGTATGCATCCTTAGATGTATCATCCATGCAAGTTTGGTCACTAAAGAACTCAATGAATCATGCACCAAAAACTTTAACCTGTTCACTCAACCGGAAAATGTATGTCAGATTCAGCATCTGAAGCAAGACTGGTAGTATGCATCCTTAGAAGTATCATTCATGCAAGTTTGGTCACTAAAGAACTCATAGTTACTTGGAAATGAAACCTGCATCAAAAACTTTAACCTGTTCACTCAACCGTAAAATGTAGGTCAGATTCAGCATCCGAAGCAAGCCTGGTAGTATGCATCCTTAGATGTATCATCCATGCAAGTTTGGTCAACATAGGGCTGATAGTTACTTGGAAATGAAATCTGCACCAAAAACTTTAACCTGTTCACTCAACCGGAAATTGTAGGTCAGATTCAGCATCCGAAGCAAGCCTGGTAGTGTGCATCCTTAGATGTATCATCCATGCAAATTTGGTCAACATAGGGCTTATAGTTCCTTGGAAATGAGACCTACACCAAAAACTGCACCAAAAATGTTAACCTGCTCTGAAAACATTAAACAGGTCATTCCTTTGCTGAAATTGCAGCATCTGAAACTTTGACTGGTACAATGAAACACACTAGAAGCATCTTCCATGCATGTTTAATCAATATAGGACATAGAAGTACTTAAAAAGAAAACTGCTCCAAAAAACTTAACCTTAACCTGGGACGCCGATGCCGACACCGACGCCGACGCCGAGGGTATTACATAAGCTCCCCCAACTTCGTTGAGGTGAGCTAAAAATGACGTATTTCATGTGCTGTGAGAGACAGATTGAGGAATTTTTTAACAATGAAAAATACATGTTATTATTAAACGGAATATTATTTACAGGTTTTAAATAGTTGATCAATATCAATTTATATCCTTTGTATAGTGCGATTATTCATTAACTATCAAGAGAATGCATTTTATTAATTATGTCATGTTTTTATGTACAGGTTACGTATGCTTTAGTAACAACCTGTCAGAGAAACTCAAGAAAGTTTTAAAATATTAACTTCAAATAGCATTTCACACGAAAATATAATAAATATCTTTTTTCATCTCAAAGTAGGCCTAATTGAAACTTAGTGTTTCTGGATGGTTTGATTGACACATCCTTGCACTTTCACTAATTATAATTTTTATTCTTAATACTTAAGAAAAGTGGCAATTTAGTTGTGTATTAATGAATAATGTTAAAACTATAATACAGAAAATTCAGAGTAGAAATGTTCTATAGCAAAACAATTACACCCACTGGCAGTTAATAAAGTCAGTCCGTGCTCAGTGTTCTGTACAGAGTATAACAAATTGAATACACCCGTGAAATATATACTTTTTTTGTAAACAGGGTACGAGCTGTGTTACTGTTAATGTTTACCTCACTCTCCTCATCCATTCGCCGCAGCTCCTCCTGGAGCTCTAGTCCGAAAGATCTGAGCGCCTGCACTTCTTCACGCAGCAATCGAAACCTCTCCTCAAATGGGCTACAATCACAAGTCCAGGATCAAACTCTGTCATAAAACTTGTTTTATTTCTCTTGTTGTGTGGACAAATTTGAAATAATATTATTAAGGCAATTTGATTTTTACAAAAGTTTTTTTCGTTATATATTTCTGTATACAGAGAAATTTTTGCCCCTTTCACCTATTCCTCACATATTGGTGCAGCATGGCATGTGATAAACATGTTTTAAAAATTATAAACAGTTTCAAAAGTGGAAGGGAAAAAAATGGATTACTCATGTTATTATGTTATGGACAGACACCTAATAATAATACCTATTGTAGCACAGACTTACCCCCAGGGGTCATGATTTTAACAATTTAGAATACACAATCCCATAATGCTTCCAAATAAGTTTCAGCTTTTCTGGCCCAGTGGTTCTTGAGAAGAAGATTTTTAAAGATATTTCCTATATAAAAGATCAATGTTAGGCATTTTGTTGGATATAATTCATGCCGCACATAAACATGCATGATACGAGGGTTGTCCCAAAAAGTCGTAGACAATGTTTATAATTTTTTAAACATATGCTACCAATACTAACCAAATTTTGCATAGGCATAATATATTCAATGTTCTTTAATTAAATTGTGAATTTTTAAATATATATCTTTCATATTAATAATATTAGGATGATTTATGTAAAGGCCCATAAGGCCTGTCGGGGCATGCACAAAATTCAGAATAATTTACGCATATAACTATTACATTTGCTTTTATTTCTTTAGTACTATGAAAAAGATTGAATTTAAATTTCAATCAGCAAAACCAGAATCCAAGTCAAATTTTCATATAAATACATAGAACTAAAATTTACATCACTGAAACCAGAATCAAAATCTTAATAATATTAATATGTCAAAATTTAAAATAAATAGCTTTAGAACCAGACGATTTGTGTCATGATTTTCATAGTATCATTGGAATTGAGTTTGATAAAAATGACATTTTCAAATGCGTAACCGGCACATGAAGATGTAATAAATTGTGTTGGATATGCTTTATATACATCAGAGATGGGAAAAAAGAGTACAGAAGTGACATTAACACACCATATTTTAAAAAAATATAAGTTATGATAAAATTTTAAAAAAAAGTTATGATAAAAAAATGGGCACAATATTCAATGAGAGTTTTTTTCCTTTATACCAAAATAGTTACGGCATGAAAGAAGTAGAGTAAAAATGCAGAACAATCAATTGGGAACAATCTGGACGCGATTGACCTCAAACAATATGTATACATGTATTCCCTACTGCCTACAACATAAGGCCTTTCGACTAACTTTCAACTGAAATTTGAATCTGTTTAAAAAATCAAATAAAAAACAAACTGACGTTAGTAAATTTAATTAAATCCCTTAGTCAAGAGTGGTCTATCACTTAAGGTAGTTCTACACTCGGCACTAAATGGGCTCAATCTTAAAAAATCTGCTTTAATTTATAAGATAGACATACATCCCAGCAATGGATAGATGCAAGAAAAAATATATGTCAACATGTTAACTTTCTCGCTATTGCCTATCAGAGTATATACCCCAAAATGTAAAATATTGAAAATTTACATATCCTAGATTTTGTTGTATATAAATGAATTAAAGTCTAAATATTCAACTTTAATACCCAAACAAGTTTGGCTTTCCAGAAAGCCTGAAATGTCATCTCTTTGGTATCAGTAATGTCAAAGAAATAAAACAGAAAGGGAAATACTTTAATGCAATGAATATATGGATTATTATACGTGAAGTTCCCAATGACTTACTGTAAACGTATTACATTTAGCGGTGTATTCTATTTAGCGATTTTGGCGGAAAGCAGAGTCTGCTAATTCAAGTACATCGCTAAATGTCTTGTTTATTAACTTTTATATCTGCCAAATTCAGACAGCGCTAAATCAAATCTACGCTAACTTGTTCAAATTGAAGTTCTGCCAAATATCGTACACGCCAAATGTTATACATTTACAGTATTCAGCAAACAGAAAACTAAGCTGACAAGTATTTTAACATAAAAAAGAACAGTCCAAAGATGATTCCTACCCACGTAGCTTAAGTATTTAAACCTTTCGAAAGAAGCCACCTATACCTACGTTTTGTTCACTTTTAAGAAAAATAAGGGGCAGGGTACCATGCACGCAGTGATTTAACTACGGATACTATTACAAATCTATATATAGAAATCACGTCATTGTCAGTTCTCCTTGTGTGGCTTACCAATTTAATAAGGCATAGTATTGAGGATCAATATATATACGACACACCAAACAGGCGCGGATCCAGAAATTTTTTCCAGGGGGGGGGGGGTCCACCCAGTTAAAAAAAAATTCCAATCCTAGAAATTTCTTGACAAGCAATTAAAAAAAAAAAACTTAACTCGCCCAAACGTGAAAAACCTATTTCGTGTGTGTGTGTGTTTGGGGGGGGGGGGGGGGGGGGGGGGGGGGGGGGGGGGGGGGAGTCAATGACTTCTATTGCCTCAAATCTCTCACATTTCATACCCATTTCACACATATTCATGTTCACCAGGGGGGGTCAGCGTTTTCCAGGGGGGTCCACGGCAAGGTGACTTTTCTTTTGCTTTAGTATATACATTTTTAACTGTGGAAATTCCAGGGGGGGGGGGGGGGGTCCTGACCCCCCGACCCCCCCCCCCTCTAGATCCGCGCATGCCAAAACTTGAGATATTTATATTAGGATCGTACTTCTTTTCTAAATTATCCTTGCCTTTCAAATAGGCCTAAACCGAAAGTAGATCACACACTTCTAAGCTATATTTATAATATTTCTTCTAAAATAAAACCAGTTTACAGGCTACTTGGAACTCCTTGTGTAGATTCTCACTTGAGATATTGTAAAACATCGAGGATTCCCGAAAAATTAATGGAGGCTTACACTAGGACTTTACTTCCGGCATACAATCTTAATGTGTCATCTCCCGAGGGAGATGACAAATAAAGTAGAAAAATGTTAGTAAACAATATATAATCATTGTTTTGCATGAATTATTATAAATAGATGCACTTTGTTAGGCTAACCTATCAAAATTTAATATGAGAAAATATGCTTTACAGTTCAATCTCGGCCATGTAAAAAAAATTATGGACTCAAACTTCGTAAATTTGCATTATTTTTACTAAATAATATTTAAGAAAAAGAATAAGCTTAAAAAAATTCTATGTTGACACATGACTTTTCGTGGTATAAGCTCTACACTAAAGGTACCCCCTAATTTCCTTCTTCCAGAAGTAATATATTGCCACATTTTCCTGTAATACTGTTAATGTTTGAGTGTATATTTGTATTAACAAAGTTGTACATATTTAAAACAATAACTATACACACCCAATACCTATTGTCCCTAAAATTTATCTTATTTTACGCTTTAAAAAAATTAAAACACACATTAGTTGTCTGTAAATTGGAGACAATGAAAATGAAAGTGATCGATTGACTGATTCTAACAAACTGGATAATTTTGTTACAGAGCTGCAAGTGAATCAACTTTTGTCATATAATTATATTCAAAAGATAATTTTTGCATTGTGATTCGTGGGTAAGCAGGTGGGGGGGGGGGGGGGGGGTATGGCGTTTTATACAATAATTGTTATTCAAAGTAAATTTAATTTTGTAATGTTTCATTAGTAAAATTCATAAATTGTCTAAGTCAAATCGTAGTCATTACTTTTCTTCCGAATTAGGCCTATCACTAGTAACTTTAACTTGGCCGCCGACAATTGTCGCCTCGATTTCGACAGTTTGAAACATGTTCTGATATAGCATGTTCGTGGTCCGTGTTATCGGCACGGCATATAACACATGCATCATTCACAGAAATATCATTTTCTTACGTAATTATTTCTGTCAACCGAAAGTTGTTCCCAGCCTTCTCTTTTTAATTAATTAAACTGTAGAATCAGTGTTTGTACGTTTGTTGACGCGAGCAACTTGGAACAAAATCTTTACCGGATATTTAAAACGCTAAGTAAAAGTCAAACCAATATAGCTCAAAAATCACATCTCGGAAAAAAGAAGCGTGGTTCTGGTTTTACTATTCATAAATGACGTAGTGCGAGTGTAGACCTACTTTAAAAAAAAATACTAAATGTTAATACATGTTAATATAAGAGTCAGACGTAATTTATGCTTGCTTTCGTGCACCGGTGTACACTTACATTCTCTCTTTATTTTTACATAATTTTCATATTAGATTTATATATTATTAGGCCAGCATTTTTTTATTTTTAGGTTTACGAACATCAGAATGAAAAAGTCCCGTAGGAGGAGGAAATAAAAAAAAAAAAAAATTATTTTTTTTGGATACATTATCGACTTTTTCTATATTAATTTTTGCTTCTTTTTTAATGCTCTCCTAACAGGCTCCTTGCCACTGGACACATAAGGGTTACAAAGGGGAAAATAGAACCCTTAATTGTTTACCAGTTGGGGCCAGTGATTTAAATGATAAATCTTGTGATGTTGGACAAAATACAGATTTAAAAAAAAAACAGATTTTTTAAACTCTTTCAATATACACACATATATATATATATATATCTTCATATTAAATATAATTTTTTAATATGTATTAGATGAATGTGTAGAAATTGTTCTAAATTAAAAATATACTTGAGACCTAAAATAATTATTCCTTTCATAAAACACTTAAACAGACTGGGAGTAGGATGGAATTTTTTTTCAATTAAGTGTAAAATAAATTTTCTGGCTGCCACAAACGATACTACATGCCTGTATATATTTGTAATTTTGTATATACTTGTTTTTAAATATTTGAAATATTTTGTTTCTTTAGGCAAAATTATAATTGTTTATTTCTTCCTCAAATGGACTTAATCTCTCCCATAGTTTTATTCATTACATCTGAAGCATAAGCAACCCCTTTCTGAAGAATGATGCTAAGACTGAAAGCTATAACAGAAACTTAAACAATGTCTCTGACAAGAGAAACCATGGGCAGTTTTAAACCTGTGGGAGGAAATTAATTAACAGACAGATGACAGATACTTTTGAATACGGATACATTATCTCACCAACATGTCATTGTGCAACAAAGTTGTTAGCACGTACTTTATTTGTTCCCTGAATGAGTGAGACGTTTTGAATGGCACTCCTATCGATAAATATTTACATTAAACCAAGGTTTAGTGCTGCTATGGACTTGACAAATCTACCTTCGTTACCCGCCATCATGCATTTTTTGAAACCGGAAGTACGAGTTCGTAAATTTGAAATCTCGATCCCGACTCAAATTTGACATCGGAAAGAAAAAATTCTGTTTTTCTCAATTTTATTTTTTTTCTGAAAATTCAAAAACTCTAGCGGGGGGTTTGTAAACCTAAAAATAAAAAAATGCTGGCCTTATCATGAAACTTGAAATGCATGATCATAAAATGTTACTTTTTTGCTATGACAAGAATAGAAATTTAATTAAACAAAGAGAAACTAAACTGTTATCCCTGTCTACGACTTTCTGGGACAACCCTCGTAAAGTACATAAAAATTTCCCAATTTTTGATCAAGTCATAAAATTCCCAATTTCAAGGGCCTGGACCTCTTTTCCAATATTATATGATATGGAAAATACCTGCTGAAATTTAAACCTAAACTGTAGGAAAAATAATCAACATTTTCAAAAATAATTCACAGACGGACAGACAGATGCTAAATGGGCATATAAACAAAGACAGTCCTTACCATTATAAGTTGCCAACTCACCCGATTTCGTCGGGTCACACCCGATTTTTCAACCCATAACCCGATTATTTTTTATGACCCGGCGGGTCATGCTTATCGCCCGATTTTTGCCGGACAACCCGAAAATCTCCCGATTTCCGGATTTAGTTCGTAAATTAGGTTGCACTTTTAACTTCCAGTTACAACCAAAGCTTAGACGTACCATCTACGTAAACAATGCAGATGGCGATGAATTAATTATCAGTGCAGGTGTAAACAATATTAACTGGGTGTTAAAATGTTTTGACAAATCAATGTTTGAAGTCAATTAAAATGGCTTCCGATAGAACTAGATCGTTATCAGGGCCAACAGGAACAAACTGACTCAAACACATGTCTCTGATTGAACCAAGAAAAAGAGAAACAATATATATTTATGTACATATCCAGGAATCTTGGGAAAAAAACTTTCATTCTAGATAAAATGAAGTGATTGAAGACAGTGTAGGCCTAACTTCACATTTAAAACATATTGTAGTACAAATGTAGTTAATTAATTAAGAGAGAGGAAAAATAACTTCAAAACTGAAATTGGTATACTTTCAAATTTAGCAGAAACTGAAAAGGTTTTTTTTTTTTTTAAAAATACACACTTAACTTCACGTCAATAATGAAATATGAAACCTTCAATTCTCATTTTTAACATGTAAATTAAATCAAATTATGTATGAATATTTTGTCATATAGTAAATTAAATCCTTTTTCAATAAAAGAATTCTTAATTAATACACAAATACTATGTATATATATATATGTATAAAATTCAATCATGGTAAATATGTCGTGAATGTCGTAATTTACGGCGTTATGACCAGATTTTTCACTTTCCAAATCTGGTCATGACCAGATATTTACATGCTGGAGGTTGGCAAGTACTCCTTACTATCTCATTAGCTCTTAAGGTCTCTGATCGACAACAAGCTGACAATGCTGAACTTTTTTAAAATGCATACCGTATGTCTTTTTTAACATGAAATCAAAAATTCAATCTTAAAGTTCCTTCAATTAAAATGTGAACACAATTAAACAGTATATACTTACTCTCCATCATCACTCCAGATGTCCTCAGCTGGGGCATCAAGGTCAGCCATATCTGATGTACAAAAGAAAAACATATGTTAAATAAAAACAACTAAGAGAGTCTACATAATAAATGCTTAAAATTCAATCAACTGGAAGTAATACTGTAAACCAACTATTATTCACGTCATCTTTTATTCCTGATTCATCAATTTGAAATCAATCCGCAGCAATTAATTTTCACGAATAAGGAAACATTTTCTACAAAAACAAAGCAAAATAAAAGGTTTGCAGTGATTTATATTCGAAGCTCCCCCAACTTTGTTGAGGTGCCTCGCTAAAAATCATAATTTTAATTTATTTAGAAAGCTCTTGTCACAGGCAATACACATGCTTAATATAAAAGCTCTATCTCTTTTCATTCAAAAGTTATGGCCGATTCAAAGCAATGCTTTAATTTTTGAAAAGTATGTCAAACTTCAAGGTCAAGGGGTCAAAAATCATAGTGTATTTAGAAAGGTCTTGTCACAGGTAATACACATGGTTGATATGCAATTTATCCTCTCATTCAAAAGTTATGGCCAATTCAAAGTAATATTTAAATTTTTAAAAGTATGTCAAACTGGTAAAGGGGTCAAAAATCATAGTGTATTTAGAAAGGTCTCATCACAGGTAATATACTGTTAAACATGTGTAATATGAAAGCCCTATCTTGTCTCATTCAAAAAATATTAGCAAGGTTAAAGTTTTTATACCAACAGAACAGACTTGCAGACTGACAGACAAATGAGATCACTAGCGGGGGACAGATACAAGAATTGTGATCCTCCACTTTCAAGGTCTCGTTGAATTAGGGGTCAATCATTGTTATGCAACCCTGCCTTGGAGGTCAGGTGCATTTAAATGAAGGAGGAGTGCCAACCCAAAATTTTACTGAAGAGCTCTTTAAGACCTGCCTTTTCAACTATGCAAGGTTTCAGCCTTGTAAATCACCAATTTCAGCTCTAAATTAATTTATAACATTTTTTTTTTTGCATTTTTTTTAAGAGAAAGTAAAAAAATTGTTTTCTTTTCATAAAATATTTTTTATGGTTACAATTTTGATATAAGTTGCATTAAGAGGCTAAATAAAGCTACATGTTACTATATAGCTAAACATGTTAATTTAAAAAATCTACACTGGTACTGGACCTGTTAAAAACACGAGACATTTCACCAGGGACCTATATACTAAGTATAGTTAGTATATAGGTCCCTGATTTTACTTCAAGATTCTGGCAATTTCAGACGAGAAATACTATATTTTAAAAGAGTGGTCACAAAAAAGTAAACTTCTTTTCCAAACAGGATTTTTAAAAAACTTATTTCGTTTGGAGGGGGGGGGGCTCTCCCCTTGCACCATGTCCTCACTCCCCCACCCAACCCCAACACAAACACCCCCGAGACATGAATCATCACATTTTATTCAAATATCATGATATAGGAGATACTTTAAAGTTAAACTTCTTGGTAAACAAAGGCTATCATTCAGTGACTTGGCCATGTTGGCTTCATTTTTATGATTTTAAAATTGAGATGTTCTGGTAATTCTATTCATAATATTTACCTGCGTCGTCCATCTGCTGAGCTGCTGAAGAATCGAAAGATCCGTTCATAGAACAGCAAAATCAGAAGAAATCTCAAAGTCTCAATAAATCGCCAGGAAAATATGTCAATACTCGCCAAGTCTCTATATCTGAGTGATTACCAGTTCACGTGGTCAAAAACACGCGCCAAGCATGGCGTGGTCACTGGGGCATGAAACTTGTGAATATAGCGAGGTAGAGGTTCTACATGTCTTGATATGGATTTCTCACGTTTAGGGCAGTGGGGAGATATATAATTATGTTGCAGTTATTGAATAGGATAGAATAGAATAGAATTTATTACCAAATCGGGACCCATTTTTCTTAATGTAATATGCATTCAACAATTAAGGGGGGCCGGGGGAGGGGAGATAGGGGGCTAATTATTGATTACCATTCATTGATAGGACATCCCCCCTTTTTTGTTGCAGTATACATGGTATAGTCATGAGGGGAAATAAGTGTGTATGAAAGAATTGTACTGAAAAAAGTTAGACCCCTACTCGCCCCTGGAAACACTAGGATTTTCCAGTCGACTTATTTTTTCTCTGCCTGTCCCCTTTCAAAAACGACTGTGCTGCGTCCTTCCCAAATGTCCGGTGGTGTCATGTTGAATCTATTTTTTTTTTTTAAATGTATTCTTGTTGTTATTGATGGGGGGCGGGGGGGGGGGGGGGGGGGGGGGGGATTAGGTATGCACACGTAAATTATTTACGTTAATAAATGAAGATCGATCTAATAACCTTTAGAGGCACTGCATTTAACTTATATAATGTGCAATTTAATAACTTTTTGAATACATGTCCTTGAAAACTGAAATTCATTTGTTCATAAAATTTATTTCACACAATTTATTTTCAAACTTTGAAACAAAGTCGAAGTTTACTCAAGGCAGAGTTCAAACTTCAAACGCTGAAAGTTAGTCAATGACATGGTCTTAGGAACCATAAGGGGGAGGGAATAGGGAGTCGTGCTCCCAAGAACTTTGCAGATATATAACACAATAGAAAACAGGACTCACAAACACATGTGTCTCGTTAATATGAACTTCTGATTACCTTTTTATTTTTTGCATAAGTTATCAAGGATTTTTTGTTAGTTGATGGTGCCCAAACTGATAATGTATAGCTGCCCCCTCCCCCATCCCATGAAAGGGAGACTGTCACCCATCCTTTTTTTTTCAAGAAAGATTTTTTTTCTCTAAAGAACGAGGGCGCTTTTGATTGGCATTCGGCAGGAATTGAAAAGTGAAAATTTTATCGACATGTCACATGAAATTTTTACATTTTTTTTTTATTTTTTGGGTTCCTGTGCAACGGGAAAGGAAAATGTTTTCCCGAAATTGAGTTTTGATTTGCTAAAAAATAGCTTGAAAATTGGCCAGATCAGACAATTGGTACAAAATGGTACATTTCTTAAACACGTTTTTCTAAAAAATTTCTATCTCTGGGTCTTCGAACTCTCCATGATTTTTAAACGTTATTTGTGTGTATTTTAATTCAAAGAAACGAATACACATTTTCAAAAAATGGAGAGTAGACCCAGAGACCATGAAAAATGACCTTTTCCTAAAAAATTTAAAATGTGTGAATATGGTGTTTCTTTGTCCTTTTAAAATCTTCAGTTTATGTGTAGCGGCGATAGCTCAGTATGTTGGGCTACCAGTGTTCAGTTAAGATTTAGGTTCGAGCCTTGCATGCATGCGGCATTCTTTTTTTTTTTTCAAACAAACAACCATTTATTTTGTCAGTTTCGTTTTATACACTAATTTATTAAAATTTTGAATTAGACAAATTTTGGTTCAGTTTGGTTCTCGATCGAAATCAATTCCAATCTTCTATTCTATAATGTACATATACATACATCTATGATATTATTATGATATGATATTAATATTTTAGGTGTTTATTTTTTGGAAAACATTACTATGTTTTAGTACCTCCTAGGAAAAACGGACATAAATGTTATAATTTCACTAAGTTCTTTCAAACTAAATGAAAAAAAAAACCTTTGGACGTGCACGTGATGGTAAAATCTGACCAGTTATGTTCAGCCAACTAAATCATGGACGTTTAGACCATAAATGTTTCGTATGTTTCGTACCTCTGCATTTCATTTTCGGAAATATGCATATCATTTCCGACATATTTTTAAATTTCATTTCCGACATTTTTGTTTTCATTTCCGACATAATTTTGTTTTCATTTCCGGAATTTACCTGTGCGTATAAAGGTAAAGAGTTCTATGAGCATAAACTTTTTCACCACATCTAATGTGCACTCAAATTAAATGTCAGTGACAGCACCACATTTATGTGCAAGTTATTGATATATATACAAAACTCAGATATTAGATTTCAATGATTTATTTATGTTTTTTCTTTAAATTATTCAAAAGTAAAGTCTTCATATTTGTTACTAAAAGTACTACATGTACATTATGTATTTGAAAAATGTCGGAAATGAAAAGATGATAATTTCAAAAAATTCCGGAAATGAAATGCAGCTGTTTCTTACTATGATTCCTGCAGATCACTTGCCAAATGCGCCCATCTTCTTTAGTATGAGAAATTTTGTTAACAAGACAGAAACAAAAAAGACCCGCTTTGCTTTGGAAAATATGATGCGATACTACATCTTTGTAATTCTAAAAGTTAGCCCCCTTCCAAAATACAGGGACGTAGCAACCGGGGGGGGGGGGGGGGGGCAGGGGAGGCCTGCCCCCCCCCCCCCCACTTTTTTCACCAACATAACCTTTGATATAGAAAATGTTCATTTAAAATGTAATTGCCCCCCCCCCCCCCACTTTTTGACCACAGTACGATAGTATAGTGGTACCAAAGAAAAGTTTGGAAAAAATTGGAATTGAAAGTAACTTGGCTTTGTAAAAGTTAACTCCCCCCCCCCCCCCCACCCCCCCCCCCCCCGAAATAGGATTTTCGAGTTTGGACAACTTTTAATTTTCGTTGTTTTTTTTTTTTTGTTTTTGTTTTTGTTTTTTTTTTTTGGCTTGTCAACTTTTCCAAGTAAGTGAAAAAAAATTTCTCTGGTTGGCCCCTCCCCCCACTTTCAAAAACGATGCTACGTGCCTGAAATAAGACAAGATTTTTGAGTTTTGGGCAATTTTAAGTACATTTTCTTTTTCAGGAGGTTAGTTTTTTTTTTAAATATCCCCAACCCTTTATTTAAGATTTTCCGTGCTTGTCTTAGAGAACAAAGTGTGGAAGAAAGCAAACATATCTAACAAAAAACTATCGTTAAATAAATGTTTTACAAATAACCTAGATCTGCATTGTATTCGATAAATCAGATATAAAAGCAATTATCTTGATAGCATAAAAGGTATATCTAATAAAAAATTATCGTAAACTATTGTATTATTGTTTTAATGATGTTTATACGTTTCATTGATGGAACAGATTTTCACTGATCAATTAAATCTGTACAGGCGACATGCCTAATTTTTTGTTCATGCAGTGATTAACTCTAAGGAGAAATTATTCAATCTAAAGGTCATTAAAAGTTAAACAGACAACAGAACAGACAGGACAAAAACAATAAATGCTATCTATCGATCCAGGCACATAAGAAAGACTGTTAAAGTTATGGATTTAGCTGTATATTGGAATTACTTTGCATTCACAGGTAAATTCTATCGTTTCTAATTATTCGTATTTATTATGATTAATTTGGGATATCAATCTAAAATACCCGAAAATACACCGTAAAATTTGTAAACATAGGGTACAGAAGTGCCATGGTTGCAAACGACATTGTTCAAGATGTCAACAGGTACTCTGTGCATGGAATTTATATTCATAGACTTGTATATACCTGCACCGAAGTTACTATTTGACGTTTCTTTGATTTTTGGTCTAGGCATTGTGATTTTCTTTTGGAATAATGTGTATATATAAGCTGACTGATTGCTGATTTTGGTCAAGTTCCGGTCTTGGAGTTTCAGGAATTTTCTTCAGCGCATGCGTTATTACCGTCAACGTGAGCAGCGTTGAAACGACAGTGACGTCACTGAAGACGGTCGACGGAAAAAATCGAAATAACACGAATAATGCACTCCCCCCTTCCGAAGAGGCGGCCATTTTGACAATGTTAAATCCCCGTAGACTTTGAATTTGCCGCCGTGTGTATACACTGGTTGACCTCGAGGGTTCGGATAAACGGGGGAAGTTTGGAAAAAAAATGATCTGTTGATCGGACCTAGGTTGGAGGCCAAGGTATTTATACATTTTGAGATATGAAGCGAAAAGTGAGGTCCTTGGTACCGTGGGACAGACTATATATAACATACATGTAGTTTAGATTCAAGTTTGTTTAAATTATAGCCCCCGAAGATAGGTGGGTTTACAATGGGGTATCAATTTTTTATATAACATTTATTTAATAAATTCTTTCAAATGCTTCTTAAGAAGAGCAAAACCATGTTCGGTCATACTAATGTGGAGGCTCTCTCAAATACAGTATATGGTGCAAAAAATAGTTAACTGAAATCGTTCTCCCTGAGGTAAAATAGGGTTATGATAGGCGATCTACTTTATATTTAGAGGAATGCAAACAAAGGATCTAGAACAGTAAAGTCAGGTTGATTCATATTGATATAGGAACACCCACAGGTAGTGTAGATGGGGCCATGAAAAGGTGATTAAACTTTTGCATAGGGATATAAATAAGGGAATGAAGTATAGAAATAATGAATAGTAAGGTAATCAAGCTCAAAAGCCCATCGAAACAAGTAACAGTTATTGTATATTTATTATGGTGTATCCTGAGTTATTTTTCTACGAAGGGCAGACAGACAGACAGGACAAAAACAATAAACGTCCCGCCCTATCGTCCAAATCAATCAGGATACACCATAATAAATATTCAATTACTTTGCATTGTATCATGGCCAATCAAACGTCATGTCACAGATTTTCAGCATGATTTTTAATTACACCAATAGAAAATATAGTTTTTGTCAGGTGACCGCATCGATAATCTCTCCTTCCTGTCAGTATTTTAATAAACATTTTACGTGCGTGTGTTCATGGAATTTATATTCGGATTGCAGCATACCAGCCCCCCCCCCCCTCCCGGATTTCCTTGTCAACTGTTTTGGAGGCCCCCTTTTTCTTTTGGTAGCTACGGTATATAAAGTGACTGAGTTGTGATTCTGGAGGTGTGATTCTGTGCATGAGTGCTGGGGACA